CTTTCTTGGCACAAAACTAAGTATCAAAGAACACACCCAGTTTTGGATAGAAGACGATGATGCGTTAATGGTCCATTTAGCAGCTTGAAGTTGTTTACATTAGGCACAAAAAAACCTCCTCCCTTATCCTTCATTTGCAAAATAACTTCAGAGACTTTTCCATGCTGTGTGAGGTTGACCACTCTTCCCATTTTGCAGATAGGTTAATATATCTTGAGTGAAGGGAACACTTTACGTATCGTGAGCACCTTGGAGGAAAGGCAGGAAAAAACCAGGGATGGCTAACCTGTGGCTCTGTAGAGGCTGTAAAATTCCTCCTCCCATCAGCTTTTTGAGTTGGGGGTTATTTTGTGTGTGTGTGGGGGGTGTTCTTTAGTGTAGAGCGCACCGCCCTGCACATCTAAATGGCCACAGGTTCCCATCTCTGGTATACAGTATACTCGACATGGCACATCAATGGACACTTAATCCCTTTACTGAGCAATACAATATTTTCCTGTTTATCAGGTGCATTTGCTTCAATTCATACATTACCACAGAAGGATACAAACCTCTACTTCTCCAGCGCTTCTTGTCATTCCAGTTTAGTAATTTCTCAGTGGATAATCCATTTGGAGTGGAGTCAAGAGCATGCATTGTTCCTACACAAATGCTGCCTTGTTTCCCTTAGGGATACTGTATGAATCAGGCCCATTACTCTATGAACCACACTACCATACATATAGGCAATACATATCATAGAAGACCGTATTTTCAAGATATCCTGCTTGAACAACATACAAGGCCAGAAAGGAACCTGAGAAACCTTTGCCATCACTACATTCTGCGGTAGCAAATTCCACCGTTTCACCCTGCAATGTGTGAAGAAGTACTTTTTTGGGGGGTCTGCCCAAAAATCTTCCAACATTCAGTTTCACTGGATGATCCCAGCTGCTAGTATTTCAGAGAAACTTTTCAGTCCGAAAAGGGATTCCCAGAACGGCTTAAAAGACAAAGAAAAAGAAACCACCAGCAAGCAATAAAACCAACTGGCCGATTCAGAACAGAAAGCAGAGCAGTCAACACACAGAGATAAAATCAAGGATCAATCTGAGTCAAAAGGCAGAGGGGAACTTTATTTAGAACAATATTTGGAGGCAGGGGGTCCACAGGTCACACACGCAAGCATGCATTCTGCCCTGCCAGCATTCGTGCACTAGAGGAGACCCACCCAAACACACATTGCCTCACTCCCATCTGCTTCTTCCTGTCCCACCCCTTAAATATTGTGCAGTCTATGAAGTAGTCCTTCCAGCTGACCGCGTTCTCAACTTTGAAGATTTTCCTGCAGCTTGGTCACTTGTTCCCTATAATAAGAAGTGTGCAGCTGCTATTCCCTAGCTGAAAGCTATATTTTGAAAGAAGAAAGCATGGGAGGTTCGGCAATAACCGGCTCTGTTCGGTGACTTACTCCCACACAAGCAGATTTGGAGGCTGTGTCCTTTTAACCCCCTCGGCCCCCAATGCAAAGACACCCCCCTTCATCACACATGATGAACACTGCTTGAGGCAAGAGGAGGCCCTTAAGATCAAAAGCTAGGCTGGGGGGTGGTGAGGTCAAATGCAAAGTCCTGCCACAATCTCCATGTTACGTGAAATTTTCAAAAAAGAAGAATTTAAGGATGGGGGGGGTGAGCTCCTATGCTGGGCAGGGGAAGACATATGGATAATGACACCATAGAAAAACCTCACAATCTGTCTGGGACTTTCTGCTGCTGCATACTTAGCCTAGTGATTAATCCATCTCCTGAATGTGCTTGGCACAGCATGAGACTTTTTGCACTGCCGTGCAGTTGAGCCAAGTCATTTTTAGTCAAGACTTACAGCAGGTGGTTCCATGTTAGGCATGTCTCTCCCTCCACCCATCCACCCCCAGGAAATAAAAGTACTCAATGGGATTTTTAAAATGATCATACTGCCAAGTGACTCAGCTTATTCCCCAATGAGCAGATGATGTGATCTCTTCCTCTCCCCACCCAAGATACGTATGATTTTGGTTTGGGAAATAAATATCTATATATTAGTATCAAACTTCCAAAGTTGTTAGTGAACATAGGCTTGAAGCTCTAGCCAACATCATACAGCTGATGTGCAGGAAGTATAAATTTATCAAGCCCACCTACCCCAAACTCAACACAAGCTAAGGGAACTGGCTGCAGCTCAGCAGTAAAGTACACAATTTGCACGCAAAAGACTGCAGACTAAATTCCAGCATCTCCAAGTAAGGCTGGGAAAGACCCCTACCCAGAACCTTTGAGAACCACTACCAGATAATACTCGGTTAAATGGACCAAGGACCAGATTCAGTATAAGTCAACTTCTTACGTGGGAAGGGTAGAAAGTGAGCAAACATGTTGACTGTTAATGCCAGCTTCTATCCAGGGACTGCTAAGTAAAAGCTGAGGGAAGCTGGGGGGCAAAGCTGGGGTTAATATTGTGGGGAGGGAGAGCACAACACCATCCACAACCCAATACACACCTTGAAACCCAGGTGAGGAGAAAAGGAGGAAGTTAAGATAGCAGGTAGGACCTGAGCTGAGCTAAGATGCTTGTAGCAAGAGTGGCTGGGACAACTCAGCCACACAGGCAGAATATAAATAATTAAAGTAAAGTACAGTAAAGTAAGGGACGCGGGTGGCGCTGTGAGTAAAAGCCTCAGCGCCTAGGGCTTGCCGATCGAAAGGTCGGCGGTTCGAATCCCCGCGGCGGGGTGCGCTCCCGTTGCTCGGTCCCAGCGCCTGCCAACCTAGCAGTTCGAAAGCACCCCCGGGTGCAAGTAGATAAATAGGGACCGCTTACTGGCGGGAAGGTAAACGGCGTTTCCGTGTACTGCGCTGGCTCGCCAGATGCAGCTTTGTCACGCTAGCCACGTGACCCGGAAGTGTCTCCGGACAGCGCTGGCCCCCGGCCTCTTAAGTGAGATGGGCGCACAACCCTAGAGTCAGACACGACTGGCCCGTATGGGCAGGGGTACCTTTACCTTAACCTTAAAGTAAAGTAAACAAAGTCCAACCTGCCTAAAGAAAATAAGGCCATCTACAAAGAGAAGAGACTCATTGACCCAGCACTTTAAACAAGACAATTCACTGTGTCCATCAGCTACTCACTGGAACCTACTAACTGATATATACTTAACCAAAGCATGACCAGATCCACTTAGAGAGTTTTATGATCAGCGATCTTATTTACAATAGGCAGCTTTATGAGTGCTTCTGGAACGATCCCTGGCCCCCATGCACATGCATGTGCATGTATACTCACAAACACATATAGTAACAGGTGTCAATGTGGACAACAGGACTACAGAGGCTTGCCAAAAATGAAATGCCACCTTCCATGTCAAGAACCACAAGAACATGCTTAGATTTGCAGCCCAAAGTGCAAGAATGCACAGGTGCAATGAAGCATTATGGGCTGGAGAAATTTGCATTCCTGAGTCATTTTGAACCGCAGCAACTTCCCCGTGCAGGGCTACTCAAGCTGAGAGTTTGGGCAGGGAGAACAGAAGACTTCTCCTCCGTGTACCCAGCTACTCAAAACCGAGTGAGAACATCCAAACAGAAGCCTAGCCATTTTTGAAAACACCAAGGAGCCTGGCAACCGCTCCTTCAACAAGGAGCCAAGCAAGCAGAGAAGAAAATTCCCCTTGGAAGCAAAAACAGCAGCTTAGCTAAGCAAAGAGGAGGAGGAAGAACTCCGAGCTACACAACACCCACTTGCAACCACAAAGGAACACAGCACTTCCTGTTCACAGTTGCCTCAGTTGCCAACAGTCACTACGGAACTTGCTCATATGGAAACGCATCCGGGCAAGTGCTCGGTGTGGACCTTCAGCTTGCTCCTTAATGCCGTTTAGCAGCTGAGAATGGGGAGGAAAAGCAAGCCTTGCACAGGCACCTGGCTCTCTGAGCAGGCACAGGCTTAGCAAACTGAGCTATGTATTGTACTGGGCTCTGAAGGGCCACGAGATGCGGAGACTGGCATTCTGAACATGCATTGACCAGCTCAGAAACTCCCACAACTACACCACACTAGGTTCGCATCTTGATTTTGAAATAAGGGTGAAGGCCCTGGTTCAGTAGGAACTTGAATATCATAAGCCAGGGTTAAATCAATGCTTTGTATCACTGGGGCAAAGAGTGAAGTACAGGAGAGTCACATGGAGGGTGGAAGGGTTTGGGGAGGAAGAACACACTCTTACAGCCTGCTCCTAAATTTTTAACCATGTTTAAAAGAAATAGATGTGTAACATCTATGCTGGACCAGCAAGTGACTATATACCGTATTTAAAATACACAAGTTCCTCAAAGAATCCAAAGAACTCTAGTTCATTAAGGGTGCTGAGAATTATAAAAGGTAAAGGTAAAGGGACCGCTGACCATTAGGTCCAGTCGTGACAGACTCTGGTGTTGCGGTGCTCATCTCGCTTTATTGGCCGAGGGAGCTGGTGTACAGCTTCTGGGTCATGTGGCCAGCATGACTAAGCCGCTTCTGGTGAACCAGAGCAGCGCACGGAAATGCCTTCCTGCCGAAGCGGTAACTATTTATCTACTTGCACTTTGAGAATTGTACTTGTTGGATATTCTACAGTTCTCAGTATTCTTTTTGCAGGGAGGGGCGAATGTTCTTTGAATGTATGTAAGCACCCTCTGAACAATTATTTCCTTGGCCTTCCAAGAAAAAGCAACAGAAGCACCTATATTTGTGTCAATGTAAATGTCACATAATTTAACAACATCAATGTTTAATTGGCTGTGTTTTCTCTTCACAGGCACAAAAACTCTCTAATTTCCATCTGCTACCATTAAAATTTGGTTAGACACCGAAAAATACTACCACAGAGAAAGCTGCCCAGAGTACAGCCTTTGCAGAGAAAAATGTCCACACACTTAATCACTTCTCAGTTCTTGGGGCTTCCTGCAAAAAGTGTTGATAAACTTCCTCTTTAAGTGAAAATAGGATCATTTTGCAACGTGTAAACCACCAGCCATTTAGAAACGCTTTGTTGTGTTGTGCTTCCTTTTCTCTGCTCTTGAAACATTAAAATGTGAACTTAAAAACGAGAACCTGGTTAGAACAAGAAACGATATCGAACAGGTAAGACACAATTATACTTCTTTGGATAAAAAAACACCTCTAGAACAGTAAAACTGGTATTGAATATCTTAGGAATGTGTGTTTTACTTTTTGGAATGTTCTTTTTTTAAAAAAAAAGTTTTGCATTCCCTATCACAGGCAAGGCTAATGTTATATTAAGTGAGGGTTTTTTTCTTTCAAAAGAGATATATACATTATGCAAAAAAAAAAAAAAAAAAAGCACCAGTGACCTGGACTGTCCCCTAAAGAGTGATCGCCACTGGAACGCCAATCAGATCTGGGTACCAACTCAACGGGGGTTGGGTGGGGGGTGAGAACAGACCTTTCTTTGAAATGAACAAATATAAAGAGCAAATTGGAACATTGAGGGTGCCTCAAGTTTTTATTGTCTGAGGGAAGCCTTATAGGTTCTGAAAATACTCCATTTTATTCTTTATTTTTACTTACTACTGGGATTATAACAACAAATGCATGAATTATTTTTTTCTTGCTTGCAACTTTGTTATCTTTAGTAAAATCTCTGGATGTAATTTCTGCAAGCAACAGTCAAACCACAACAAAAAAAGCCACAAACTTTTGGGGCATCTTAAGTACCAACAAATTTATGTAAGTAAACACAAAGGTGGAAAAAAAGGAGTATCTATGTGTGTCTGTAAATATATATGTGTGTATATTGGAGTTAAAGGGCAATTGGCTGCAACAATTGAATTTGAGCTGCATCGAAAGCAAGATAAGTTCAGTGACCATCACAGGAGTAATTCATGATAGCATAAAAAAGTAAAAAGGCTCATGGCGCAACACTGTTTACTTTGAAGTAAGCCTTACTTAGTTCAATGAGGCTTACTCACACGTTTGTATAGGATTTCACAACAGAACATGTAGTTCAGAGTTACTAATGTAAGCTATTGACATATTTAGATAATTTGAACTGCTGCAAAATAGTTAGTGTTCCACTTTAAAGATTCCATGCTACCGCTCATTCTTGAGATTCCCCCAAAAGAGGGGGGCGGGGTTCACATTTGCAGGATCCAATCTGGAGCAAGAAAAAAACAAAACCCTGTATAGTTAAGATTTCTAGTTCCATCCCTTCAGGTTTGCATTTTTAAAATGTTACTCCTTTAAAATGGATGCACAGACCTTGAAAGCATTTTACTGAGGACCGCTGCTATTAAGATTGCCTTCAGAAGGCCTGCCCCAAGGCCAGAGTTCCCACTCATAGGGTTCCTCAGCACCCCAGCAGGATCCACTGCTGGTGCCTGCCTTGCCCTTAAAAAGAATTCTGACCTGGTGTTCTGAGCATTCTCAGCAGCTGCGTCCCACTGTCAGTTTAATTTCTCACAATGCAGCTTCACTCCAGGAGCACTGTGGGAAATTTAAATGGTAGCTCGACCCAGTCACCCAGAGTCACTTGTCATGCTACTGCTGCTCACCACCTACCAATGGATGAGGGGGCTTGCCAGAGGGCCTTTTGCCCTGGGCCCCCTCAAACCTGGAGCCCTTCCTGCATGTCCCTTCATTAAACCAAGCGCCAGAAAACTTTGTTGTTTTTGCTCTGGGCTAGTCTCCTTTAAGTCAGGCCCAGTTAGGGGAAGGGGAATTCTTTCATGTCTTTCTATTGGTTGTGAATGGATCAATCATCCCCCATTTAAAGATGCAGGCTACCTACTCTTGTTTCTATATGAGTTACTGCTCCAGACCTGCCTCTTCCCAGTGAGTAACTCACACTCCAAACAGGGATACAAATATATACAGGAATGGGAAGTGCTCTTCAGACGTTAAGAACGGACAGAACCACGTATTTCTGGTCTGAATCTATTTTGGATGTGTTCACTCATAAGTTCGTTCTCTTCCATTTCTTTCTATGTTTTTAGTGGTTTTCATTTTTATATGTAAGCCGCCTTGAGTCCCATCAGGGAAAATGGCTAGGTATAAGTAAGTAAGTAATTTCTGCATTAACCTGCAATGAAAAAAAAATCTACCCCAAAATTTGCATTTAAATAAGTACTTTTGAACATGTTTTCTCACAAAATATGTGTTTCTAAAGTATTTCCCACTAAAACATGCATTTTTAATCTGCATGTTTTACTCTGCATGTTAGTCACCTTGGAATGTACAAAGATCAGATTCTTCAAATGTACCTAACTCTGAGGCCACTTAATTCTCACACTCTCACACTTCCCAGTAAGGGAAGTCAAGCCCATGCGAAAGTTTTAACTTTTGTTTCTCTAGGACAGAGTTGAATCCTGGCCATCATAGCACGAGTCAGTACACTTGCGTTACAAACAACACTACTTCAAAGATACTCGGTTGTATCCAATGCCACTGAAAACAATGGATATGACTTCCTTGGGTTCATTAACTCCAATGAGTCTATTTTGAGTACAACAGAGTTGGATACAACCCTCTAGGTCAGGCACCCCCAAACTCGGCCCTCCAGATGTTTTGGAACTACAATTCCCATCATCCCTGACCACTGGTCCTGTTAGCTAGGGATGATGGGAGTTGTAGTCCCAAAACATCTGGAGGGCCGAGTTTGGGGGTACCTGCTCTAGGTTCTGATAATTTACTGCCTTTTATTCCCTTTGTGCCACAGAAGCGTTTATCAGCACCGACACAACTATGGACTCCACAGCCATTGTGCTTGTTTTCTTCTACGGACAGCTGTGGTGGAACGTATCAACTACACTTCTGATCACTACCACTGCAGTAGTTGGCACTGGTGGAAAAAACCCCATACAGTCATACGAAACAAGCGAACCTGGAGACCCTGCGAAATTCAACCAGCGAACACCCACCACACAGCCCCAGGTTCCTGCAGCAGAAGGTCCCAAACCTCACGATGGTGGACACTTCATAGCAGCGGTAGTAATTGGGGTCATCCTGACTGTCATGATAGTAATTATTGTTGGCATCTTCCTATGGAGGCGATGGAGAAGGTCCGCTACACCTGTCCCGCACTGGGCAGGCCGTTCCCCATTTGCGGATGGAGAAGTACCAGATACGACTGCGGATAAAGAACCTAGTCAAGACACGAGGCGGACTTCAGTTCTCTCCTTCTTGCCTTGGAAATTCAACAAGGATACGCAGCTATTGGAAAATGCGCAGGGGCAGTTGTCTGAATCAAGCCAAGGCCCGGATGTTCCCCCTATATGTGGGGCTGAAGAGAGTGGCATGCAGTCAAGCTCCACAGCAACAGCTTCTTCTGCAAGCATGCAAACTGCCATTTCTGAAGAACCATGCAGCTTGATAGATGTTCCACTCCAGTCTGATAGCCCAGAGCCACTTGATTTGCCTCCACCACCAAACTGGCTTGATGGAGCTAATGAGGATCTCTGTCCAAAGCAGACAGAGTCCCTCTCACTTGAACCAATTGCAGAGATCCAGGGTTCTGGATCCCTAGTTCTCTCCCATCAAATTCCAGGCGAAGAACTACTACTACCACCTCCTCCAGAAGACTTGTTATCTAACTGATTTAAAGGAGGAAAATGTTTAGGGAATCAAACCAATCAAAGAAAAAGGCCGAAAACCTATCAAATGCTGTTAGCTCTAGTTTTTTTGTGAGCAAAAGGGAACGCCATTGCCTTTTTTCACATAAGAACTCAAGAGCAATGGTCCGGCTGCTTCTAGGGTATCAACATTCCCCACTGTGATCAACCAGAAGCTTCCAGAAAGTTAACAAGCTGTGCATGAAGGAAACAACTGACTTTCAGAGGTACACAACCTTTGCAAATGGGATGCAGTGATAAAACATTTCCTCCATGAGTTTCTGCTACTTTTTATTCACCCTGATTTGGGCAGCAGTTGATCGCATCAGAATACCTTTCCATTTGTTTGTACCCTTTACGAACCCATGGCATCCTTTTTATCTGTGGTTCTACTACATTGGTCTTACATAATCTCCAAGTGTCCGGAAGAGATCTGAACCTTCTGGCACTTCCTTTGCAGCTTCCTTTTAAGCAATGCCTTCTCTTTTAAGAAGACGTCTTTTTGACACTGAAAATGTGACCTTGCTGGACTTCCTGGGAACCACTTGCATTTATGTTGAATTTTACAGCACTATGGTCACTGTTTCCAAGCCGATCAACAACATCTGCGTCTTGCCCTGGTTCCTGGGCACCACTAAGTATTAAGCCTCCTTTCCAACAGGCTCTTTTATAACTTGTTAAATAATAGCATTCCCCCCCCCCCCGTCTACAAATTTTGCCTTTTTAAATCTAAAGGCAAGCCACCCCTCACCCCACCCCAATTTTTGTTTGCTATTGTTATCAACCCAAAGCAAATTTTATCAGAACTCAGGATTGCAGGTTCAGACCTATCATATGCAACAGAAGCACTTTTGCACCCACGTCACTGCAGTACTATAGAGAAGTAACCACAACATGGCTATACAAAGTGAAACACAGGAACCCATTGAGCACATCTTTAGTGCCAACCAATTTGACGCAGGTGAGGCAGCAGTTCCACCGAGCTCCAAAAGCTCAGAGGGTTCAGCAGGTACAGTAAGCCCCAGGGGATTATGGGATGGGAACTCTGGGGAAAGGAACATAGCTCAGTGGTAGCATCTGCTCCACATGGAGAAGGTCTCATGTTCAATCCCTGCCTGAACTCCTGGAGAGCCACTGTCAGTCAGTACTGAGCTAGATGAGCAAGTGTTTGACTCAGCATAAGGCAGCGCCCTATGTTGCAGAAGATATGGTGGGAGACAGAGTTTTGGTGATGGGGCCCAAAGGGAGGTGGTGGTGAACTCCGCTCTTTTTTTGGCCGAAGAGAAATGTGTCCTGGGGATATAAATCCTAGAACAAGGGGAAGCAGGATGGTGAACTCACCCCTATTCAGCCACCCTCAGCCCCATGACCGGTTTTCCCAGGGACCAAATTCTGCAATATCCAACCGCTTTCACCTCCCCTGGAAGAAAGAACCTCTCCAATAATTCTACAACACAGACGTGACTCGGATTTCTTTCACTTGCACATTTGAGCCAGTGGAGCAAACTGCTGCCAGTTTTGATCAAGGGGATCTTACGTACGCAGAAGAGATCCCTAGACGATGCTTTCGTTTCCTTGTTCAAAGTTCTACTGCAAAGTGCATCCATGAGAATTAAAAGCTCTGCTGCAAGCAAGAACACTCGCTTTGGAATCTGGCCGGAGCTGATTGGGTGGACCTTGGGGAAATCAACTCTTGATTCTAATGCTAAACTTTGTGCTCTTCAACACGTAAAAAAAAAAGTTACTGCAACTTCAGCATCCTGGTCTTATGTTTCTTTTTTTATACATTGGTTAAGTGGTGAGATGCACCAAGATTTGCTAATCGTTAGCATAAGAGGATGTGACGGTCTACCAGAGCCTTGTCATGAAGTTACAAGTCATGAAATAGTCCATTCTATATTTAGATTTTTTCCTGCCTCCATTCTAAAGGGCTCATGAAAATGTACATGTTTCGTTCCTGCAGCCTATGAGATAATTAGGCTTTGAGACCTTAACTCCTCCATATGCACACAAAGCTATATTGCCAAGGGTCACACTATTCATTTCACTATACCAACTCAGGCCAGAACTGGGCGTTATTGCAGATGTATGTCTGCCATGGGGAAAAAGCAGCCTAGTTCCACCTCCTTCTCTCCTGGGGAAATAGGTAGTTACAAAATGTGTGTCCTGACATCATCAGACTCCAGGTTTGCTTACACCCATTCCATTGACTGCTGTTTTGAAGGACAGGGAAATTCTCAGTATGCTGATGCTGCATCACACATCAGTTGTAATAGATGTTATCAAGAAAATAGATGGGTCCCATTTTGCAAGCTGGGGGTGAAGGGTGGATCCTGGATCTGAAAAGTCGAAGACTATTGTGTTAGGATGTATGGGTGGCAGCCATCAGTCAGTCATGCCCAAATTTGTAACATCATGAAAGCAACCACTTCTGGATACATGGATTGACGCTCACAGATAAATTATCTGACCATCTTGGCTGTGAATCCTGGAAGACCTGCTCCCTGCCTTGCAGGTCTTTTCCCACCTGGCCCGGAAAGGCAGGGCCCTGAATGACTCCAGCTGCAAAAGCTGAGGCTGCTGGACAGAATCTTGGGCCAGGGTATGGTTTAGGGAGTTTTGTTGGGGGCGAGGGTTGTTGCTGTTTATTTTGGATCTTACGACTTATGTGGAAATTGTTTGATTTGGTTGTGCCCTTTTTTGATGATTTGTTTATTGTTTATGACTACTATTGCTATGTGTGTAGTTCTGTAATTGTTTTTATAAGCTGTAAACCACCATTAGCATGGTTTTAACTTTGGAAAGGTGGCAGACAAATAAAACGATTGACTGATTGATTTTGGTGCATGAATTGGCAAGCTGAAGTATAATGGGAAAGCGAGCATGTTCCCACACCGATCAAACCTGGCAGAGTGAATTGAGATCACCTTGGATGTGCTGCAGTACCTCCCACTTGAAATCCATGACAAATTTCCCATAGGTTTATCTGTAAGTGCAGCCCTTCTCTCCATCTTTTTTTAAACATATATTGCACCATGCCTACCAGGCTGCCAGTGCAATAAAAATATGAAATAACACTAAGCATCCTGCTAAGGACATCTGCTCACCTGTGAACCACTTTAGAAAATATAACATTTCATATCTGCACAAATGAAGCATCATCTCAGCTGGGGCCACTGAAAATATCCACAATGCTCCCTATTAAGGCAGTTGGCAATATTTTTTTGGGAATCTGATGCTAATACCTTTTTAGCGACCTTTTCATGCTCATACTTAATGCACGTGAGCGTATTTGGTTTTACAAGCTCTTAAACACCCAACTTTCAGCAGGGGTCTTATTTGAAAGGGTGGGAGTTTGTGTCCTTTTTAAAGGACATCATTCCGCCTGGTTCAGCTAGCAAAATCTCCCCCACCCCACGTGCAGTTTGTATATTCCAGTGTATATCATTTTACCCGTGCAGTGTTAAAGGTACTACTCATTTTACTCTTCTTGGCTGCTGTTGGCTCTGCAGTGCTGAGATCTTGCTGAAATCTATTCTGGCGTATAGAGTCTCAATAAAATAGCTAATCAGCCTCCAGTCGCAATCCCGAGTCTGTCCTTAGTTACCTCTGGATAACATGATTGATTGAAAAAGGCATTCCTTGGCAGTAACAGAAGGCAGTATCCTTCCTTCTATTTCTGATGTTCAGGCATGAGTGCCACGACTTATGCAGCCAAGATGGCATCACCCACACACAAGAGAGGGGAGCTAACAGCAGCTTGGGTGAATTCCAAGGTTTGCAGAAGAAAAAGAAACCTTGCTGAAGGGTAACTCCCCAAACAGTCCGTTGAAAGCTTGAGCACGCTTGGTGACCATGGAATGCTGGCTGATTATGAAGGGAGAGGAATGGGAAACCAATTGGAAGGGGGCATGGAATGGAGTCGGCTAACAGGGGCACTCCACACTGCAGCATTTTGTTGCAGGTGTATTCACACAGGATTTTTCAGTCAATAGTAGGATTACACATCTTGTGGACCAGAAACAGCCTGCAGCTGTTAAGAAAAAAAGTCAGAAAGTTGGTCTATCTAGCTTGGTGCTGTTGGCATGGACTTACAGTGGCTCTTCCCCCAGCCCTACCTGGAGATGCTGGGGATTGAAATGGAGATCTTTTGCATGCAAAATGTGTGCTTAGCACTGGTAAAGGAAGCAGCTTTGTGGAAGCCCTGTATTCCCTGGAGCAGTCTGTGCACCTTGCAGAGCCCACACTTTGTCTGACACGTCTGTCAGCTGAGCCAACCGGCAAAAGGGCAAGAGCAGGCTGGAACCCCTCTGTGCACATATACAGCAGGGCTGAGGAATAGTGAAGCCCAGAATCTTTGGGCTGAGTGATGATGCCTTTGGGTGGAGAATGAGACTTAGTTGCTGTTCCTGATCACATTTGCTTAGAAGGAAAGCCCACTGATGCACCCCGCCATCTCCTTTTCTTGGCATGAAATTGCAAAACAAGGCTGTTTACGAAACGAAAATAAAAACCCACAAGATCTACCAACAAATTCAATAAAAAACACCAACCGCTACCAGCCTACAAAAATATTGTCCCCGAACTCCAAATGCCTGTCTTAAAAAGCAATCTTCAAACAGGAAGCTGGGGCTCTAACCAGGCAACCCTCAGCTCTGGAGGCACTTTGACGCCGTCAGTCTATAAACAAAACACTGAGCTAGATGGATCGGACTGCGCATAAAGGCAGCTTCCTAACTACCCGCTATACTGGAATGCAATGCAGGTGACAGAGTCCTAGTCCAAATGAGCTTACCTATGGAGCAAGGAAAAGTCCTAAAGCTGAAACAGTAAAAGTAATTAGCAGCAGATTGTATGGGGAGTTGGGGAAACATGTCACCCAGTTTGCGAGACAGAGCACAAAACAAAATGGCTGTTGGCCAAATGCTCTAGCATTGAAATTGTTGTTGCTGATATTATTTATTATTAAAATTTATGCGCCACCTTTCCTCCCCAAACAGCCCAGGGCAGCAAAGGCACAGGCGATACAGCAATCAAAACACCTGAACACAATTCTAATACACATGCAGTCAGGAAAAGATCTCAACTTAAAAGGTTTGTTGAAAGAGCGAGGTCTTCAGCAGGTGTCAAAGAGGCAACAGTGATGCCCTCCATTTAATATTCAAGGGGAGGGAATTCCAGTGGGTAGGTGCCATAGCACTAAAGGTCTGACACATACATTGTGAAGAATGGACTTCCTGATAAGATGGTATCTTCAGGGGACCCTCAGCTGCAGAACACAGTGATCAATTAGTAATATAGGGGGTGATACTATATTTTCAAGTATTCTGGTCCCAAGCTATATCAGGCTTTGTAGACCAAAACCAGCACCTTGAACTTAGCCAGGCAGTTGAACAAGGAAGCAGCACTGAAGAAGTCAAATTCTCATTATAACCTCTATGATCAGAGGCAGACTCCCTCTCACTATCAGTTGCCTTTGAGTATGAATGTGAAACCCAATGGGAGGGCTGTTGTTTTATTTCCTGCATGTGAGACTCCTGGAAGCTGCTGCGGGGGAAAAGATGGCAGATGAAATGGCCACAAAAGGTCTGACCCAACGGAACTCTTCTTATATTCCTAGTCTAGTCTCCAGATAGAACTGCGGAAAAGACTATTCAACCATTGTAAGGAATAGTGCCAACTCAAAATAGACAAAAATGTGGGGGACTTTGAAAAGACAGGTGAAGGACAAGGCGTTACAGAGGGATGGGGTCTTTTCAAAGCTGCTCTTGGAATTAGTTGGTTATAAAAAAAGACATAGTAAGAAAAAAAAGTTTCAGAGTTTTATTTTTCAGCACACGCTGTTACCTTTTTATTAGTCACGTGCACCACTAATTCTCAGTGTGGCTATATTATATTGCAGCTGGCAAGTCATTAAAACCGATTGCAGCGCTGAGAATAACGGGCTTTACTCGGTAGTTGCTTCAATCAGACAGGCAATTTCGGCACAGGGTCTCTCTGTTAGTGTTTGGGTCAATGGGGGTTAATCTGTTAGGTGGGTGAAGATGACACGAAGATGTCAACCCAGTGTGCAGCAGCTGTGAAAATGGCAAATTCCATGCTAGAGCTCGTTAGGAAAGGAAGTGAAAAGAAAACCACCAATATCATAATGCCATTATACAAATCTATGGAGTATCGTGTGGAGTTTTCGCAGCCTCACCTCAAAAATAATGCTGTAGAGTTGGGCAAGGTTCAGAAAAGGGCAGCCCAAATGACCGAGGGGGTGAAGAAGCTCACCTATGAGGAAAGGCTAAAACATCTGGAGCGTTTGGGTTTCGAGAAAAGGTGAGTAAGAGGTGACATTGGTATGTATAAAATGATGCATGGAATGGAGGAAGTGGATAGAGAAAAGTTTCTTTCCCCCCTCTCTCATAACACTGTAACTCCAGGTCATCCAATGAAGCTGAACATAGGAAGACTCAGGACAGACAAAATAAAATAATGAACTGGAATTCGCTCCCACACAAAGGCAGCGATGGCCAACTAACTGGAAGGCTTTAAAAGAGGATTAGACAAATTCATGGAGGCTATCAATGGCTACTATCTGTGATGGCTATATTTTCCCTCCACTGATGAAGGCAGCCTGCTTCTGAGTACCAGTTGCTGGAAACCACAGGAAAGGAGAGTTGTGTTGTGCCTCAGGTCCCATTTGCAGGCTTCCCGCGGAGGCATCTGCTTGGCCTCTGCGAGAACAGGATGCTGGACTCAATGGGCCACTGCCCTGATCCAGCAGGGCTCTCCTTACACTCTTAGATATGGGTCAACAGAAGAAGTGCCTCACCCTAAAGCAGGGGGCTGGACTAGGTGATATTTGGCTTTCCCTGAAGTGCTACGAAACCAATTATATTTAATACCACCCTCCCCCGCACAGAGATATTTCAAGAGCTGCATTTAAGGCACACAGAGAATCCCAGCAAGACAAAAGCTGGTTAAAAGTAAAAGCAGGGAGCAGCAGGGAACAGTCAAATGCTGAAGCAAGCTTATGACTAGCACAAATACCAAAAATCGAGACTGGATGCTATTTGCACAGTTAAAGTATGCATGTCGTATCCTAATGCACTGAGACACATCCCAGGGGGAGGGCGGAGGGAAGGAACATGCGGAGAGAAGTTTGGAAACTTGGGCTTTTGCTTTTTTTTTAAAAAAAGAAAAGACTGTCCATTTTGTTGAGTATGCAACCCCTTGCAATAAATTTGAGTCAGCACCAAAACGACAGCTCTGCAGTCCTCCGATGGAGCACTGATCAGGTGGTTGCAGAGCCCCTGGAAACGGCAGTACGATGCAGCTGAGGAGGCAAAGCACAACCCACAGACAAACTGTGGCTACCCTGGAGAGTGAGCCGACCTTTGCGTTTCGGTCTTTCAGGGAAACGATGCACTGATACTGCAGCAGGGACTAAGGTAAGTTTGCTTCTTTTGCTCTTTCTTCCTCTCATTTGCTTTTAAGGCCAAATGCTGCCACATTGTACGTGTGTGTGTGTGTGTGTGTGTGTGTGTGTGTGAAAAAGAGAGAGAGAGAGAGAGAGATAATATATATTACTATATAGTATAACTCGGCAGCTTCTTAGACCAGCTGTCTACTGCAGTGACAGCTACAGAATCTCATCCTAACATTAAACCCCGGTTTGAAAATGGACACCTTGCCAAGCTTGGGAAAAATTAGATTAATATTATGGCAAAGGAGGGGGGGGACACACAATTAGCAGTCTGAGTTTAAGCTTGCACGGTTCCGAATGCATGTCTGAATTGAAAATGCCATTTGATCAAATTATCTTATTTACAGCAGATAACAACTGA